ATACAAAATATTAAAAAAACAAAAAGTTGGTTCTTTGAAAAAATAAACAAAATTGACACACCACTGGCTAGACTAATGAAAACAGAAAAGAAAAATCTCTAATAAGCTCCATCAGGAACAATAAAGGAGAAATTACAACTGATGCAACAGAGATACAAGATATAATTTACAAATACTACAAAAACCTTTATGCACACAAACTGGAAAATGTGGAGGAAACGGGAAATTTCTTAGAAACACACTGCCTCCCTAGGCTTAACCAGGAAGAAATAGAATTCTTGAACAAACCAAGTCTGAAATTGAAACAGCAATAAAAAACCTTCCTAAAAAGAAAAGTCCTGGACCAGATGGTTTCACACCCGAATTTTACCACACCTACAAAGAACTGGTGCCTATCCTGCACAAAATATTCCACAACATCGAGAAGGATGGAATCTTCCCCAACACATTTTATGAAGCAAATATAACCCTGATACCAAAACCAGGAAATGATGCAATAAAAAAAGAAAACTACAGACCAATATCCCTTATGAATATAGATGCAAAAATCCTCAACAAAATCCTAGCCAATCAAATCCAGGTGCTTGTCAAGAAAATAATTCGTCATAACCAAGTGGGCTTCATCCCAGGGATGCAGGGATGGTTCAACATACACAAATCTATAAATGTAATTCACCATATAAACAAAGCAAAAACAAAGACCATATGATCCTCTCAATAGACGCAAAGAAAGCATTTGACAAAATTCAACACCCTTTTATGATAAGAATGCTCAACATAATAGGCATAGACAGGGCTTACGCAAAAATGGTACAAGCCATATATGACAAACTCATAGCCAATATCTTACTGATTGGGTAAAAATTGAAAGCATTCCCACTTAGAACTGGAACAAGACAAGGTTGTCCAATAAGTCCACTTCTGTTCAACATAGTGCTGGAAGCCCTCACTACAGCAGTCAGACAAGAGAGGGGAATTAAGGGCGTCCAAACGGGAGCAGAAGAGATCAAACTCTCACACTTTGCTGATGAAATGATATTATACCTAGAAAACCCCAAGGCTTCATCCAAGAGACTCCTTGATCAGATAAATGAATTTAGTAAAGTCTCAGGATACAAAAGCAATACACAGAAATCAGAGGCATTCATATACGCCAACAACATTCAAAGTGAGAACCAAATCAAAGACTCAATTCCCTTCAAAATAGCAAGAAAGAAAATAAAGTACCTTGGAATATATTTAACTAAGGAGGTAAAAGACCTCTACAGGGAGAACTATGAAACACTGAATAAGGAAATAGCAGAGGGCGTAAACAGATGGAAGAATATACCATTCCTATGGGTCGGCAGAGTCAACATTGTTAAAATTTCTATACTACCTAAAGTGACCTACAGAGTCAATGCAATCCCTATCAAAATACCATCATAATTTTTCACAGATATAAAAAAAATAATTTTACACTTCATATGGAATCAGAGAAGACCCCGTATAGCAAAATCAATCCCAGGCACTAAAAACAAAATAGGAGGTATCAATTTACCACACTTCAAACTATACTACAAGGCTATAGTAATTAAAACATCTTTTTACTGGCACAAGAACAGGGACATTGACCAGTAGAACAGAACAGAGAACCCAGATATTAAAGCATCCTCATATAACCAACTAATATTTGACAAAGCAGACAAAAACATACACTGGGGAAAAGAATCCTTATTCAATAAATGGTGCTGGGAAAACTGGATAGCCACATGTAGAAGACTGAAACAAGACCAACACCTTTCACCTCTCAAAAACATCAACACATGCTGGGTAACATACTTGAACCTTAGGGGTGAAGCTATTAGAATTCTAGAGGAAATTGTTGGAAATACTCTTCTAGACATTGGCCTAGGCAAAGAATTTATGAAGAAGACCCCAAAGCCAATCACAATAGCAAAAAAAAAAATAAACAAATGGGACCTAATGAAATTAATAAGCTTCTACATAGCCAAAGAAACTGTCAAGAGAGCAAACAGACAACCCACAGAATGGGAGAAAAATTTTGCAAGCTACACATCTGATAAAGGGCTGATAACTAGAATCTATTTAGAACTCAGGAAAATCAGCAAGAAAAAATCAACCCTATCAAAAGATGGGCAAAGGACATGAACAGAAACTTCTCAAAAGAAGAGAGAATAATGGCCAACAAACAAATGAAAAAATGTTCAACATCTCTAATCATCAGGGAAATGCAAATCAAAACCACAATAATATGTTACTTAACTCCAGTGAGAATGACCTTTATCAAAAAGTCCCCAAACAATAAATGCTGGCGTGGATGCAGAGACAGAGGAACACTCCTACACTGCTGGTGGGACTGCAAACTAGTTCAACCTCTGTGGAAAGCAATATGGAGATACGTCAAAGGTATACGAGTAGATCTACCATTTGATCCAGCAATTCCAGTACTGGACATCTACCCAAAAGATCAAAAGTCACTTTATGAAAAAGACACCTGCACTCGAATGTTTTTAGCAGCACCATTCACAATTGCAAAGCTAGGGAAACAACCCAAGTGCCCATTGATTCATGAGTGCATTAATAAAATGTGGTATTTGTATAGCATGGAATACTACTTAGCTTTAAGAAACAATGGTGATATAGCACCTCTTGTATATTCCTGGGTAGAGCTGGAACCCATTCTACTAAGTGAGGTATCTCAAGAATGGAAAAACTAGCACCACATGTACTCACCAGCAAATTGGTATTAACAGATCAACACCTAAGTTGACATATAGGAAAAACATTTATCGGGTGTCGGGAGGGTGGGAGGGGGGAGGTGGGGAGGGGTATATACAACCACCACGAGTAAGATGTGCAACGTTTGGGGGATGGGCATGCTTGAAGCTCTTACTCGAGGAGGGAGGGGGGCATGGGAAATATAAGTAACCTTAACACTTGTACACCCATAATATGCTAAAAAACAAAACAAACAAAAAAAAAACAAACAAAAAAATAAAAGCAGATTCTGATGGGTCAGTAACAACCCGTGCTATTTTTAGTGAACACCAAATAAACAAGTATATTAAGGAAGAAGGAATAAACAGCAAAGAGAGGTTACTCTTCACAGTAATCAGAATAGTGGTAATTATTTTCACAAATAAAAATTTATTGAACAATTTTATTGTTCTCAGTGGTTTAAAAAACACCAAAAAATATACCATATAATCCATGACCACAACAGATTCAATCCATTTTTGACATAAATAAAACAAAATGATATAAGAAGATCTTAACTCGTTAGTAATATTGAGTTCAAAGGAGTGGTGAGTTAATGGGGGAAGTTGTAAAAGACCGCCTTGTAGAATAGTATTGTCCTGCATGCTGTGAATTGGACAGCTTGGGAACACACAGGAGAGCCTGGTTTCTGTTTGGCATGGCCAGTATAAATTTAAATAGTGTCTAGGTGTACTTTCTTTATCAGTAATTACTGTTAATTTGAAAAGTTAATATTATGTATAAATTTAAAAATTAATAATTTGGGGAATATACTTTTTTAATATTAATGCAAGAAGAAAGCAATCATTGTTATTTGGATTTTAAAAATCCCTTGTTCATCTCAATTGAACTATTTATATTTCAGTATAATCATCCATACATGGATATACATAAATCTATTTTAAATTAATCTAAAATACATTATGATTAGAGGTAAATGTTATAAAATTTAATTTTCTAACTTGGCCAAGTGATTTTTAAATAACTATATCATGCAGTTATTTCCTGCTTAATTGTTAGAAAAATAACTAGGGTGATTGAATATGTTCCAATCTTTACTTACTTCAACCCAATATATTACATAAACAGTTGTGATATATATGCTGACGTCCATATACATACAGACCTAATAATAAAAATATTTAATAACTATTGCCATACTTATTCACTTGCAAGTTTACTATTAATTTGAAGTTAAATAATATCTATTTTAGGCATGTGATAGAGTCCAAATAATATTTTTCCTAATTTATTACTTTATTACTGTCAAAATATCTTTTCAGCCACTGAGCTACATACTGGATGTGATTTTCATTACATAACTTAAAAAAAAGACTAGAAGTGTATTGTAGGATTTTATGTTCTTCCCTAAAGTCTGGTCCTATTCAATAAGCAGAAATGCTGAAGCAATTTTAGAAAGATTTGATCTTCATGTGAATCAATAATTTACATAAAGTTTGTGCAATGGAAATTAAATGATTTTTATTATAGGGAAAGTGACAGCAGCTGAGTTATAAATAGTTTATTCTTATATAAGAAGACATTTCTCTTGGAAAAATGGAGAAAAGTTTCCCTATAGTCTGATTTTCAATGTAAGTCCTATAATGATTAATAAAACTTACAAGCATCAGTGTCTAATTTATGGACACTTACAAATTCTCCATCCACTGGGAATCTGAATAATGAATCAAATTCCTTTTCAGATTAGTAAATAGAGCTTAGATGGGTTTTGACAACATGGAAGAGAGTTCAGATCTGGAATTCTGTAATAAAATATAAATTTTTAAAGCTACAATTTTTAAATATCATCCTGGATGAAGTTATAGCACTATCTTCCAAGAGCCTTGGAAAATAGAAATGTCACCAAAAATATTCACTAAATATATACAAGTTCAGTGTATTCACTCTTACTCAAGAGTATGTTAGAAGAGGTTGTGAGTTTATACCTTGGGAAAAGAAGCTTTATTTGCTACCTGGCTGTGTACCACGAAATTCCTGATAATTAAAAAAAATTCTCATGTCCTTATTGAAATACCTTATATTGTAGTCACAGTGAAAATCAATATAAAATAATAAGTATTTAAAATAATGTCCGTGAAATAAATTATGTGGATGCCCATATATATATTATTACAAATATACATATATAATGAATGTTATCTTTAGGACTAAATGAAAAAAAGAGGGGCATTAGAAAGTAGAATTTAGCAGACAGCAAAGCATGAAGATAATTAGGTAGCTCACTCTCCAGACTTAGCTTTCCTTAGCACCTTCATGAATGCTCTGGCCACTTCCTTGTTGCGGAGGCTGTAGATGAGAGGGTTCAGCATGGGAGTGAGGATGGCGTAGAAAACAGACACCATCTTGTCCTGGGTGGGTGAACGATCAGAAGTGGGCCGCATGTACATGAACAGGGCTGCTCCATAGTACATTCCCACCACCATGAGGTGGGAGGAACAGGTGGCAAAAGCTTTGCGGCGACCCTCCCCTGACGCCATGTGAATGACAGCCAGAATAACACGGGCATAGGAAGCAATTATGATTGCTACAGGGAAAACAATCATTACTATACAGCAGATGAAAAGAACCTCTTCAAATGTTGATGTGTCATTGCATGAGAGGATCAGTAGGGATGGGAAGTCACAGAAGAAGTGAGCTATTTCCCGAGACCCACAATAGGAGAAGGAAAATGTAGCTACAGCATCAATGATACCATCTGTAGAGCCCAGGAGCCAGGAGGAGGCAGCCAGAAGTCCACAGATTTTGGAGCTCATGAGACTGGTGTATCTTAGAGGGTGACAAATGGCGATATAGCGATCATAAGCCATGACAGCCAGCAGGAAGCATTCAGAGCCAAGCAGTGATGTATAGAAGAAAATTTGTGTGGCACAGCCAGCCACAGAGATGGACCTGCTGCCAGACAAGTAGTTGAAAGCCATCTTGGGTACGGTGGTGCAGATTAGGGTGAGGTCCATGAGGGACAGTTGGCTGAGAAGGAAGTACATTGGGGTGTGGAGGTGGGGGTCCAGGTAGATCAGGAGAACCATGGCTGAGTTCCCCAGGAAGGCCACTGCAAAGATGATCAAGACAAGAGTGAAGAGGAAGGTGTGGGTGGGGCTGTGATCGAAGATTCCCAGCAGGATGAAGTCAGAGCTGAAGGTCTGGTTCCCCCACACCATCATGATCATGCTTTTTTATGTAGCTAGTGCCACAGAAAGTGAAACCAGTTGATTAGTTTGGTAAACATTTACCCAGTGACTTATAAAGCATGTGATCCTGTTAAATTCTATAGGTCAATGATCAAACAGCAAAAGCAGGATCAGTAAAGAAAATGATTAGAAGCAAGGTATCAGAAAGCAATAATGTGCTGTTGGCACTGCTTCATTTTTGAAATTGTGGAGCTTCTCCTAAGTTTAGCTTCTATGAATACTTTTTATCCTCAATAAAAAATTAGAGTAACAATAATCTTGCATGATTGATAAGAGTTTTTATAAAAAGAATAGGTTTCAAAAAGCACATAGACAATGCCTGAAATATCAAAAGTCTTTTACAGATAAATTGATAGAGAAATTTGGCTCCAATCAGCATGTGGCCAACCCAATCATAGAAATCAAGAATAAGAAACAAAATAAAACTATATGTTTATTACTGTACAGTTTAGAGTATTTGGTTTATAATTTATAGTAAATACAATTTATAGTAAATATCCTACACAGTACAAAGATAAACAGAGAAAAGATTCTTCAATTATATAAATCTAAAACCTGGGCCATTTTTTCTATACCCAATGTTATGGGATGAATTGTATTTTTCCCCAGAAAAAATATTCAGCATTTGAACTTGTGTGGAAATGCAGCCATAAAAAATCCATAATATTTCTAAAAGAAAATGTTGGAAAAACTCTTATAGACATCGGCCTAGGGAAAGAATTTATGAAGAAGGCACCAAAGGCAATCATGGCATCTACAAAAATAATTAAATGGGACTTGATCAAATTAAAAAGCTTCTGCACAGCCAAAGAAACTGTCATTACAGCAAATAGACAGCCTACAGAAAAGGAGAAAATATTTGCATGCTATACATCTGATAAAGGGCTGACAACTAGAGTCCTATAGAACTCAGGAAAATCAGTAAGAAAAATGAAACAACCCCATTAAAAAGTGGGCAAAAGACATGAACAGACACTTTTCAAAAGAAGATAGACTAATGGCCAAAAACATATGAAAAAATGCTCAACATCTCTAATCATGAGGGAAATGCAAACCAAAATCACAATGAGATATCACCTAACTATAGTGAGAATGGCCTTTTATAAAAAAGTCCAAAAACAACAAATGTTGGCATGGATGCAGAGAAATGGGAACACTCATACCCTAATGGTGGGACTGCAAACTAGTACAACCTTTATTGAAAGTAGTAGGGAGATATCCCAAAGAACTAAGAGTAGAATTACCATTTGATCCAGCAATCCCATTACTGGGCATCTACCCAAAGGCAAATAGGACTTTCTATGAAAAAGACATCTACATTAGAATGTTTATAGCAGCACAATTCACAATTGGAAAGATGTGGAAACAACTCAAGGGACCATCAAATACATGAGTTGATTAACAGAACGTGGCATATGTATACCATGGAGTACTACTCACCCATAGAAAATGATGAGGTCCCTATTGTATTATCCTGGATGGAGCTGGAGCCCATTGTTCTAAGTGAAGTATCACAAGAATGGGAAAAAGAAGCACCACATGTACTCACCATTTAATTGGTACTATTTGATCAACACTAATGTGCACATATGGGAAGTAACATTCATAGGGTCTCAGACAGGGGAAAAGGAGAGGAGGGGATGGGTAAATTTACATCTAGTGGATGTGGTGTATGCTGTCTGGGAGATGAGCATGCTTGTCAGGCAGTGCAAAGGCAATTTATATAACCAAAGCATTTTTACCCCTGTAATACTTTGAAATAATAAAAACATAAAATTAAAAGGAAAAACTCTGCCTTAAATATATAAAAAAAAATATTAGTTAAGCTGAATTCATATTGGGCCTCCAATATGACTGATGTCCTTACAACAAAGATGACCATATGAAGACAGAGACACCAGGAGAATGCCCTGTGATAATGGAGGGAGGGATTGCAGTGATGCACCTGCAGACCAAGGGATGCCAGTCACCGTTGGTAACCACCAGAAGCTAGAGAGAGAAATGGAAGAGATTCTCCCTCTTAGTGTCTTCAGAAGTAACTTACCCTGCTAAAATCTTTGCTTCTGACTTCCAGTCTCCAGAATTGTAAGGGAATATTTTTTTTGTTATTTTAAGCCAAACAGTTGTGATACTCTGTTATGGCATTCCTGGGAAACTATAATAGTACACCCAATATCTCTTGTATGGAATATGTATATACAAAAATAATTCAGGGCCGGGCGCTGTGGCTCACGCCTGTAATCCTAGCTCTTGGGAGGCCGAGGCGGGCGGATTGCTCAAGGTCAGGAGTTCGAAACCAGCCTGAGCAAGAGCGAGACCCCGTCTCTACTATAAATAGAAAGAAATTAATTGGCCAACTGATATATATATATAAAAAATTAGCCAGGCATGGTGGCACATGCCTGTAGTCCCAGCTACCCGAGAGGCTGAGGCAGAAGGATCACTCGAGCCCAGGAGTTTGAGGTTGCTGTGAGCTAGGCTGACGCCACGGCACTCACTCTAGCCTGGGCAACAGAGCGAGACTCTGTCTCAAAAAAAAAAAAAAAAAAATTCAGAAAAGCTTGAGGTCTGCCTATTCAAGCAATACATACTGAGTTTTGTCTATGTTTTGGGCACTGGGGATAGAGCAGTGATCAGGACAAATAAATAAATAAATAAAGCCCCTGTCCATACAGGTCATAATGAGTGGGATCAGTGGGCGACAGAGAAAGCAATTTATGTCATAAGAGGATAAATGCCATGGAGAAAAGTAAGTCAAAGAAGGGTGTCAGAATTGCATCCGAGTGCTCAACTTCAAATAGAGTATTCAGGGAAGACCTCACTCATGTGGTGGCATTTGGCAAAGCTTGGAGGAAGCGAGAAAGAGTTATCTATGTATGAATCCCACAAAATGTAATGTAATAAATAGAAGATGTATGGAAAATTAGACATGTACAGAAGGTTTTAGGAATAGTTAGAGTTTTCTAATTTAACGGTATATTTCTTATTTGTTGTGTGGCATTTTTATATTATTGTATGAGGTAATAAATGTATGAAGAAAATCAGTACATGAGGGAAAGTGATTCTAGGCAATAAAAAATGAGATCATAAACAGAAAGACAAGCCTGGTGAATAATTAGACAGGAATGTACTTTTACTTATTTGTTCATGCATCATATTTTTATGAAGACACTAAACCACATATACAAACTGAGCAATCTAGGAGTGGCAAGAGAGTTGGAATAAATCAGCAGAGGAGGTAAGATCTTGAATCAGCCTCATAAGCCTGAGTACAATTATTTAAATGGGGAGATGTAATTATTTACGTAAAGTGTGAATCATATTGTAGGTAAGAAAGGGAAAAACTCAAAAGTATTTATACATTTAAATTTAAGAATGATTGTAACCTGGGAATACTAATCTACCAAAAAGTGCCTCTGTAGGGCTGGAAATGTAGAAAAGGAACCTCATTATGCGAACCTCAGGAGATGAAAGTAACAATTTCTAAGAGAAATCATTTTAGTTAATCAGCAATGAAGGGAGGAACAGGCCTAAATTCCCTCCATTCCTGGTAGGGAGATACATATATCAGACAAATGGTTATCAAAAAGTCGGCTAGATCTGGTTATTGATCATTCAGATCCAGGTTCAGACAATTCTTGAGAATCAGGAATGAGTATCTCTGGGTTCTCCTTGGAGCTAGGGGTGGAGGTGATTCCCCACCACAGAGTACCCTTATGTTAGCTGTAAGAGGAGGTAGGCTTCAAGGTCAGGGAAAAATACATTTTATTGCCTCAGTAAAATGAGCCAGTATTTATACAACTAATTTGACTTCTATAAAATAATTCAATTTAAGTTACTTTGTGGAACCACCTATTTTGAATATATCATATCATAGGCTTCCCAGTTACCTTTATCATATCAAATTTTGTAATACTCCAATTTTTCTAAACAAGATTGTATTACCTCAGATTTCCACCATGATTTTTTTAGTCTGTCTGTAGTATGACTTCAGGAAAGAAGATATCTCATCAAATTATCCCATACATGTGCTTCTTTTAAGTTGACAAAGTATTCTTTACATTTGAGAATCACTCTGTCCCAGTCACTAAGTTGAGATAAAATGTTGAATTATTCCATTGGACATAATGTCCAAGCTAGACATTTCTACCATATGACTTTTGAACTCTACTGAATGAAGCACTATTGAAACAAGATTGGCTAACAAATGTAAAAGCCACATGCCTCTCTGCATGTTCTCACTTACACCATCACCATTGGTTGAGGATGAATTTATGTAAATGCACACTATCTGTGTCACATTTTCTTACCTCCTTTCACTGCTGCACAATCCGTTTCATACCCATGTATTGAAATACTCTTTTTAGAGTTTGCCCTGTCACTGAGCATGTGGCAAAATATGGCTATATTAAAAATTTTTAGCAACTTATTAGTGATATAGCTGGAATACTGAGCACTGGATTGCCCTGTATCTTCTATGGTAAGGTCCGTGTGAATATTTAATTAATACAATTCTGCAAAAATCAAACAAAAAAACCAAATGTATCTCATGAGGAAAATGGATGTTTCTTCTGGGTTAGTAAGATATATGTGACAGAGTGTGCTTACTTTTTTGACACCAGGAACAGTACACCTGATTTTGAAGCTCAGTTGAAGTTATTCAGGATGTAGATAATTCTAAAATGTGTTTCAGATAAAACAGCTTCCAAGAGGTATTTGTATATATTCTTACATAAATGCTTCTCTGGTGGAATATTTTTTGTAACTCCAAGTTATTCAGGACTATTTATTGCCAAAGAAGAACATTTTGAGTCACAGTCCCCTAGGGAGGAAAGAGACAAAAAGCAGGCTTTTTGGAATGGATTGAAATTTTGACATTTTGTTTTTTATTTTTTGAGATACCTATTAACATTTCAAAACTATTCACATGATGAGGTACAATCTTTTGGAATCTGCATTAGACTTTGCCC